CACACCATCCTGCCCTACCTGCTGGACAAGGCCCTGCTGCACCTGGAGCTCGAGCTGCAGGCTCATGCCAATGGCGCCAGGCCCTCGCAGGGCAGCCTGGCACCGGGCGGGCGTGGCCGGTCGGGATCGAGGCCCTGGGTGCGCCAGCACGTGGCCACCCTGACAGAGCAGCAGAAGAGGACGCTCCTGCGGGCGGTGTCGGTGCTCAGGCAGGGCCTCGGCTGCCTCCAGCGGCTCCACGTTGCCTGGTTCTACATCCATGGCGCCTTCTACCACTTGGCCAAGAGGCTCACAGGAGTCACTTACGTAAGTCGCTGGTGCTGTCCCAACTCGCTGGACTCTGGCTGCTGTGTGTTCAGCTTCTGGCAGCTAGCAGGGTCACAGGGCTGGAGCCAAGATCCTCTACTGAAAAACATGGGTTTTATTGCATCACATTTGCTAAAAGACCTTAGAAAGTCAACGCTGAGGGTAAGGCACGCCTGCCTCCCTGCAGCCAGCACTTGCACGCCCCCCTGCTGTTGACTCTGAGAAGCCGCCGAGGCTCCAGGCCCCCGGGCCCCACGCCAGCTCCTTCCCAGCTGCCCTGCCCGAGGGTCAGGTGTAGCGATGCCTCCTGTCACTGCCAGGACCTTCCCTGGACTGAGCCTGCCAAGCAGTCCCACTTTTCATCCTGTTTCTCACCTGGTGCCTTTGCTTCCAGATTCACCCAGAAAGTCTCAACTCAGGCCCCTGATCACCAGAGGGTCACCCGCTTTCTCGCCTCACTTGGCAGCACTGTCCTGAGCACCTGCCTCTCCCTCTCCAGCCTCAGCCCTCAGCGTGCACGCTCATGAGAGCCGACGGCCCCGGCGTAAGCCAGGGTGTGTGCTGAGCTGCTGTGGCAAAGGGCCGGAAAAACAGCCTCAACCCAGACAGAGGGCTTTTGCTCTCTAGCGGCCTTGTCTGCATGGGCACATGGGGCCTGGCTGGGGGGCTCCCAGCTGAAGGGAGGGAGACCAGAATGGAGGGCAGCGGACTTTCCCTTGACGTCAGGCACATCGCTGGCTGCAGTCATCTGGGTGGTCTTGAGTCAAGGGGGGAGCCAGGCGTCCTGCTAAAAGCCGGGAGCTTCTCTGTTCGTGTGATAGAAAAGCTGGTTAACGGCATCTGCCTGGGGGGCTTTTCCTCCGACCCCCCCCCCCCCCCGCTGTGCTGTTTTTCTCCGGGTTCTTTGCCGGTACCTTTTCTGAGATGTGAGTCCCCCAGTGTACCTCCCCACCCCCCAAATCCTCGCCTGCAACCAGAGGGACTGCAGACTGGGAGTCTGGGCAGTCTTCCTTGCCCTCACTCAGCACTCACTCAGTCCCTTTGGAAGTGAGGCCCCGAGCTGTCCAGCAGCGGCCCCCACTTGGTGCTCAGACCTTACAGGGTGCTCCTGCCCTCCTCACTCAGCAAAGAGGCCCCATGATCACTCTCTGTCCCCCCACCTTGTGCCAGGAGGGCAGGTTTTGGCGTCAATCGATGGGGCACTCTACCGCCAGGGGGTGGCCTGGTGCCCAGGCTGCTCAGCGCGTTGCGCCAGCCGATCGTGTGACTGTCCCTTGGGGTCCTTGACAGCTTCGCGTCCGCTGCCCAGCTACAGAGGACCTGAGGGCTCGAGACAGCTACAGGCTGCTGGGGCTCGCGTCCCTACTACACCTGGCGCTGTCCGTGGGCCTGCAGCTGCACGGCTTCGGGCAGCGGCAGCGCGCCCGGCGGGAGTGGAAGCTGCACCGCGGCCTGTCTCAGCACAGGTGTGGGGACGGCGGGAGGGTGTGGGGCCCTAGCTCGGGGCAGGGGTGGGGGCTGAGCAGGCATTGCCAGGACTCCTGAGGTAAATTTTGGGTCTCCCTGCCCCACCTCCAGGAGCCACGTGGAAGAGAAAGCCGTTTCCAGAAACCCCACGTGTACGCTGTGCCTGGAGGAACGCAGACACTCCACAGCCACGCCCTGCGGCCACCTCTTCTGCTGGGAGTGCATCACCCAGTGGTGCGACACCAAGGTGGGTGCGCCCAGGGTCAGCAGCTGTGATTCGGGAGCACAGGCTCCAGGAGCACGTGCACAGGCCAGCCCAGGCGGCTGTCCAGGCATCAGGAAGCCTGGCCCAGACACGTCCTAGGAGGGGATGGGAAGGCAGGCCTCTTTCTAAAGCTCCCAGGTGAGCCGTTTACGGGACATACCTGGAGTCAGGGTGCTAGAGTTGTGCATCCCGAGGCCTTGCTGGGAGGTGGGGACAGCAGCCCGGCCCTAAGGTTCCATTCCTAGAGTCTCCCCCCGACCCTGCCGCTGCTTGGAAGCCCGGCTCGCCTGCACACACACGGCCCTCTCCAGCTAGACAGATGGCAGCCCTCAGGATGCAGAGTCACCTACTCCAGCCTTTTGAGACCTCGGGTGGAGGCCGGGTCCTCCAAGCGGACTCCAGGGAGGGCCGGGGTTCCTGGGCCCCCACCAGCCCTGCCACCCAGGCTCAGCCCAAATCCAGCCTTCTCAGGGCGGAGGGTGGGGAGGGCCGCACAGGTGAGGTAGGTAAACAAGGGCGGGATGTGTGCCTCACAGTTTAAACGCCCCGTCCTCTTTCTTACTTGACGACATTCACCTCCAGCGGTTGGTCAAGGGGCATTCCTCAGAGCCTGTGTCCGGGGTCCACAGTGGCCGTGGCCTCAGAGCCTGGCTGCAGCTGACTTAGAATCAGCACCTGTGAAATGTCTGCACCATGTGGGTCCCACTGGATTGGCACACAGCCTCCACTTTGGGGCCCCTGCTCCCCATTCTGAGGGATTCCCTCAAGAACACAGGTGCCGCCTCCTGTAAGCGGCTAGCCCCAGGCAGGAACACCTAGTGGGAGACCAGCAGACCTTCCTGGGGACAAGAGAGAATCCGACCGGCCCCTAGGGGCGGGGCCACTGGGACTGAGCCGGACAGGGCCCCATGTGCTCCTCTCAACACAACCCTCCTCTCAACACAAGCCAACATAGCGGCCACGAGCGCCCGTCGCCAGCCCCGTCACCACACGGACAGACAAGCTGCCTCCTTGGCCTGGTCACTGCTCCCGGCTCCACTCCCCCACTACCCCAGGGTTAAGGCCTTCCCTTCAGGTTTGTGACTTCTGAAAAAAGTGCTTTTGGGAAATGGTCTCCATTCGAAGTTAATAGACACGTGTGCACGTCCCACGGGTTACTGCAGATGCCGGTGTGGGAGGGCCTGTGGCGGGGGCTGTGCTGGCCACAGCCTACATGCCCCTCCTCCTCCCCTTCGCAGACGGAGTGCCCTCTCTGCAGGGAGAAGTTCCCTCCCCAGAAGCTCGTCTACCTGCGGCACTATCGCTAACCTGACTGAGGACAGAGGACCCCAGGACTCCTCCTTGGTATCAGGAGAGAAACTCGATCTGTTCTCAAGGTTAACTTTACTTGCACAGAAATCATTAAATTCTGAGATTTCATTTCCTGTCACATAAACTACGCCAGCAGCTTGGGGAGAGGCTGGATCTGCCTGCACGATGGCAGGTCCGAGGCCTCAGGGCTGAGTGTGGGCCCACAGCACAGAGGGCAAGCAGCAGCTGGAGCCGAGCCTGCCGGGGGGCCGCACCACACCCCCACTGTGGTGCATCTGGGTCACTTCTTCAGGAGCCGGACTCTGTTGGACCAGGTTGCTTTCATCCCGTCCCCAAACCATACAGGTGAAAGTTAGCTTCGGAAATGGGACCAGCCATTCACATGATGAGAAAATGAGTCTGTATCAGGCACACAGTCGGGGTTTGGCCTGAATAGGCAAGTGTGGGGAACAGCGGACAGCAGGGCTTACCCACTGGCCAATCCGCCCGCCCCAACGACCTGGAAACCTTGCCCTCATCAGAGGCAGGCTTCTGGTCGCTCGGCCACATCTGTTCACAGGAGTACAAAGACTCCCAAGGAGCTGTATCTCCACCTGAGATGCGTGGCTCATACCTTTTAATACATGTTGCAGTTTGTTTCCCATTTTAGAAAACGGAAGTCTGCATTTTGCTGGGGTCTGCTCAGAGCTCCACGGTGTAGAGCACGGTTCTCCACTTTCTGAACACCTATCCCATAGCTGCCTCTCAGAGCTCAGCTCCCGAGGCCTGGGCAGGCTGGCTGCTCACACCAGGTCACCACTGTGTCCAGCCTACTTCCTGTCACCTTTTTGTTACTTTCAGGTCTTTAAAAGTATTTAACTTGTGCCGGAGACTGGACTTTGCCATAAGCTCTCTTAAGAAACGGACTCCACAGGAGCGTAGGTATGTTAAGAAGGCTGTGAGGGTGAACTGAAGATCACGTTTCATAAAGGGCAAGAACCTGTGGTCAGGATGTCCCGCCCCCTGTGCGAGGCTGTGGCCCAGGCTTCTGGCTGAGGCCTATGCAGACCATTCCAGGAGCTGAGCGGACAGAGTCGTCCAGGAATGCATCGCTCCCCACTCCTCGGTTACTACAGGCCGGCCAACTGAGACAGGTCACCGTGACCACAGGCCAGACTGAGGAGCCCCGAGAGAGGGGCCCCACGCTTCCTGAGGCCCTTTATGTATACCCTGACCAAGCGCAGACCATTTCCCATCACATTTTAGGCCTGAGCATTTACCAGGAAAACGGTATGAAAAAAGTGTCCAGGGTTTCAACATCTCACATGCCACAATATTGTATCAAAGATACTGATCCAGAATATCATTTAAGTACTGAGATTAAAATACAGGATCAGGTATGTAAGAGGTCTTCGTATGGCCTCTTAAAAGCAAGAGGAGCTCAACTTCAGTTATCTGTAAAAATTGGCCCAAAAAAGCCAGACAATAAGCACATTCAGTGCCTAAAGCCTTAAGACAGACGGGAACCTGCAGAGAGCTACAAGTCTGCAGTGCCTGAGACCAGGAGGACGCCCTGGGCCTGCCCCTCAGCACCAGTGCCCCAGTGACCGGCCCAGCTCAGTGCTTGCTCACGGGCAGCAAGCTGTCGTGTTTCAGATAAAGACTCCACAAGAAAGGGGACACTGTCTTTAATAAAGTTGGAATTAAAAAGTCACTTAGTAAAATGTTTACGAGTATTTGTTTTTATCACATCAAAAAAGTTGACATGTGGGTCAGAGTTCTGTTTTCCCATAGAAAGTGAGAAGCCGTGTGTGAAAACCCACAAACTGGTCTGCCCTTGCCCATTGTTTCTGTAAAGGGGCCACTGCATGAGAACAACTTCAAATTAATCAAAAACAACTCTTTAGGTATCAAATGTGTCAAAATAATTCCAAACAATTAAAATATAATATATATATTTATAATTCCAGGCCCTCAAAAGCAATCATGGTAATTAAGAACAAAGTTTTGAGTCATTATGATAAGACACCAACTTTAAACATCTCTGGTGAGATGGAAGTGGGAAACTGGCATTAGAACCCCAGAGTTACTTGGAAATCACCTTTCAAATGTTCTTCCAACGCGCAGGAATCAGGTTAGCATCATCCTCCAGCTGGGTGATGTGGCCACGGGCGTCCAGGGTGGGGGCAGCTGGGGCACAACCCGGCTCCTTCCGTGTAGGTCTGTTCCACGGCCGCCCAGCAACAGAGACCGCCCGCCCCTCCCCGCGCCCCCAACCCGGCTGTCCGCCCAGGCAGCAGTTTACTAGAATTCTGTCCATTTGAACACTTGAATGTCACTGAAAAATAAATCAATGCAATTTGGTTTAAATGTCAGTTTCTTCAAGAACCTGATATTTCAGTTACAAATCATTGAAGCTCCTTTTTAAAAAGAAAATTCGACTCCCTCGAAATCAACTACTTTATGTGAAGGAAGAAGGCATTGTTACAATGGCTCAGAACCGTCCTCAGACTCTGTGGTGGGTCCGGCCGAGCACCTAGCTCGCAAACGTCTTGCCTGCGTCCTCCTTCCCCTTGTACGTCCTCTTGCCGTGCGTGAACGGGATGTACCGGTACTTTATCATGTGCTGGGGACAAACAGACTCGTTTTAGAGTGGCTTCACGATGAACTATGTTTTCTCCAAATCTGAATCCTGATCTTCTCTGCACACAGGGCAAGGAAACCAGGGTTCCAATAAGCTTCTAGTCCCCTCCCCACCAGTGACACAGCAGAACCCTCCAGAGCCCACTGAGCTGGCCGAGCTCGCTGGAAATCCCGAGGGTCTAGGAAAGGTTTCCTGACCCCTTGCATGCAGGAAGGGCTAGGGCTCGGCTGGGGACCCCTATGATATACCCAGAGGAGTGGGGATAAAGCTGCTCTGGGGGCTGTTTGAGGGTAATGTTGGCATAACACACACTGACTGGCCGGTGGGCCCTGGGCTCTGTGCCCCCAGGACATGCCAGTGAGGACAGCACGGCAGACCCGAGGGCTCTCCCACCAGGCCCCCGGGGAGCGGTTTGTGTGCCCGACAGCTGCACTGTTGGGACAGGTATGTGTTGGCGGAAAGGGACTGTGCCGTGTCCCTGTTGCACAGAGCTTCGGGACGCTCCAAGTACAGACAAACAAGACCCAAGCGGGGCTCTCAGCACCTCCCAGGGCAGCGGTGCCTACCCGCACTCACCTTTATTTGCCTCTTCATGGTGATACAGAAAAGCATGATGAAGTACATCACCAGGATGGGCCAGAACACCGGGACATTGAAAGCCTCAAAGAAGGTGCAGGCCATGGCCACGAGGATGCCCTTGGTCGCCGCATGCCTTAAAGCAGGGGAGGAGGTCAGTGCCACCAGCTGCCCCGCCACCTGGGGCCACGGCAGCATCCCTACTTGGGGCAGTAGGGGCGCGGTGTGTGTTTCCTACAGAGTGCACAGCATGTAACTACAAACACGGCATTCCCTCAGTCCCTTGAAAGGCCCCAGTTTCCTTCCAGAATTACAGAGTGTGAAACATTCAGCAAAGAGGTGCCACTGCTCAGGCCAACGTGGGCGTCTCTCGTCTGCCACCTGGCAGGCCCCTCCCCTGGGCTGTGCATCGCTGAGGAGATCCTGGCGGCACCCAGGCAGCTCCCTCCAGCTCAGGGCCCAGCCCACCGGACTCATGGCTACTGAAAATGCTCCTTCCTCCGGGACAAAGGCCAACTTCCTCGGGGGACGTGCAGGGCCGTCTTGCCTGCCTTCTGCTCCCTCCCCAGCAGTGCCCTCACTCCAGCCCTTCCCGCCCAGCCGGCAGACTTGCAGAGTGCCTGCCACATCCCACACACAGCCCCAAGAACGCAAAGTAAAGCTGTGGCAGCTTTTCCCTTCAGGTTTTTGCTCCACCAAATAGAGGACAGACGAGGTCACAGCCTTCATGTGGTGGGGGTCCCCTTCATGCATGCTTCACGCATGACAGCAGGGGTCACCTGTCCACCTGTCACATGCATCCTCATGCAACATCACACAGATGTCACCACCTCCAGGGGGCCTGGGGGACAAGCCAAGTCCCATCCAAGCCCACCCCACAACACAGCACTTGCAGTGAAAGCAGACTGCCCCAAGGCTGGACCAGCCCTGCCTCTGTGCAGGCACCCTGAGCAGGAGGGCGGGGAACGTGGTCCACTCGTGCCAGCAACCAGAAGGGGTGTGGTGCGAGGGGCAGCACACAGGCCTGCCCATCTGTGCAGGGCAGCCAGAGCCTGGGCACACATCCCTCCCGAGGCCCACGTCCGAACACACCCTGGACCCTCCGCCCCGGAAGCAGCTTCTCTTCGGCCAGTTCCCAAGGGCCACCAGGCACTGGGCTCTCCTGCAGGGGCCCGTGACCTGCCTTCACGCCCCGCCAAGGACAGCAACTCGCATTGTGGATGAATGTTCAAAACACACACACACACACACACACACTAAAACTCTCGTTTCTTTCAGAAGTCTTTGCTGCCTAACGAAAACAAAAACCCTTTGTTCTCACTCTTATTAGCCACACTGAGGACAAATATCTTTCTCAACTACCCTTAGGAATTAACTCACCAAAATTTAAACTCTGGAAGCCTTCGAATAAAGGGTCGGAACTCCTCGTTCTGTTTGGTTGGTAATGAGGGGCCATCATCTGAAAGGCAGAATGTCAGTGAGATGGAGCGGGCGCCTCATCCATCTGCCCCCATCACATTTATAAGTTTCCCCTAAAGCTTCTGAACTAGCATCTTAACGCATGAAACACACATTTATGTTACTTAGCCAGACATAACATGAAGAACCTTCAAATGATTTAGAAATCAATTCATTGCTTTAGAAGATTCAGAATAGAATTTCTTTTTTAAAAGAACTATGCTTTTTAAATGATTGCATAAAATTAAACTGCAGACCAATTTTCAGACACACATCAACTGTAGCACACAAAGGCAAGCAGGAAAAATGAGAACATTTAGGGAAAAGGAGCGGAGAAACACACAAAGCTTCATCTGCTGAAAGTCCAACTCAGAACAGCTGCCCCCCACGCTGATCCCCACCCCCACTGAGCCCTCCTGGCGGAGCACCCCCCCCCGCTGAGCCCTCTTGGCTGAGAGCCCCCCCAATGCTGAGCACCCCCACAAAGAACCTCCCAGCTGAGTCCCCCACCATGCTAAGTCCTCCTGGCTGAGCACCCCCCCCAATGCTGAGCACTCCTGGCTGAGGCCCCCCACGCTGAGCCCCCCCTGGCTGAGCAACCCCCACAACGCTGTGCCCTCTTGGCTGAGCATCCCCCAATGCTGAGCCCACACACACTGAGCCCCCCAGCTGAGTCCCCCACCATCCTAAGCCCTCCTGGCTGAGCAACCCCCCAACACTGAGCACTCCTGAGCACCCCTGGCTGAGACCCCCCCCCCCATGCTGAGGAGCCCCCACGCTGAGCTGGGTACAGTCAGGCGGCCCCACCCTGCCCAAGGCAGACGCCCTCCCCAGCTACACACATGAACCGAGGCCTATGGAGAAGCTCTCGGAGAAGCTCTCGTAATCATCTTCTAATTCCCCCAAATGGCAACAAATGGGAGTGTTGTTTCCTTTCACATTTTCATTAAATACTCCATAGAGAACAACCACAGGCTTCTGGTCAAGATTGGAGCAGCCTGGAGAAGACAGCTTGTACTCAGGAAGTACCGCCGTCACAAGGGGAATCCACGGGCAGGCAGCTGTGCCCGGGTTTTTCAGACAGCGGCGACACGTGTTGGCAGGAGTGACCGAGTCTCCACATGTCTGTACCCCTCCCCCTCCCAGGCTGGACAGTCAGCTGTGCACTTGGCCCTCCTACCTGGCCTAGGTATGGCCAGGAACAGTTTGAGCCGAGAACTTTTCAACCTGTCATCCTGGGAAATCAGGGAGTGCCACCACCCTCAACGGGGCCCAACCGTGGATGGTCAGGATCCCAGTGGCCACTTTTGGGCACAGCAAGCTGCCCATGGAAACCTCTGGATCCCCAGGAAGAGGACCTACCCGAGGAGCACAGACAGGACTTGAGGACAGGCGGGCTCTTCGGCAGGAGTGCCACCCCTGCTCCCACGCAACCCTGGCCAAGTCTCGTGACCCCGGGCGCCTCCGCTTCCTCACCCGCAACAGAGTAGCAGGAATACCCAGCCCGCATGAGGCATGACAACTAAGGTTTAATGTCTCAATCTACACCCAAGTGTATCCTCACCGAGGTTCTAAATACATTTTAAACACCAAGACGACAGTCTCAAAAGTTCAGATTTCAAAGGTTTCTAGAGAAAATGAGGCATCTGTGAAGTGTACAAAATCACAAACCTCCCGAACAGACAGAACCAAGCAGACAATCTCTACTATACCTGAGTCCTCCATCAAGGAAGGGTCCACTTTGGGCGAGAGAAAGGCTATGAAAAGATTGAGGTGGTAGATCCCCAAGGCGTAGGTCACGATGTACCAGCCCTGCAAGAGAGGAGCACTTGGTCAGTGACGCAGCCCAACGCCCATGCCCTTAAGCAGCCCCCAATGGTCCAGTAACTCACGACCTTGTTTTAGCTCAACCTCAAAGCACGCACAACTTACTTCCAGTCCGGAGATTGCAACAAGTGACAAGAAGGCACAGTGAACATCCACAATGACAGTTCATCTCAAATTACTTTGTGAGTGTGACAGCGGACAAGCCACGGTGCAAACAGACTTCTGCAGGGGTCCCAGTGGATGCACGGAGCACCTGAAGCCACCAGCTCCCCAGCAGGGATGCAGGAGAAGGGGAGGCTTTCCCCAAAGCCACACGCCTGAGCGGGGCCACACCATGGGGCAGGTGTGGATCGTACATTGAGGGACACCGGCATGTACACCTGGCCCAGACCCCGCCTCACCGATGGCTACCTGACCCAGAAGATAGGATCTGAGCTGTCACTCAGGATGTGCTAGTATTCCTTCTGGTGGGCCCCCATACCACCACACACCGGTCAGGGCTGTTAATAATCTTTGCCCAGAAGAAATCCAGAACCGGGAAATCAGGAAATCAAAAGTGAGGTTAAAAAAAGGTGGAGGGGCGCCTGGGTGGTTCAGTCAGGTTAAGCATCTGCCTTCAGTTCAGGTCATGGTCTCAGGGTCCTGGGATCGAGTTCCATATGCAGCTCCCTGCTCAGTGGGCAGTCTGCTTCTCTCTCTCCCTCTTACCCTGCTTGTGTGTGCTCTCTCCCAAATAAATAAAGTCTTTAAAAAAACAAAGACAAAACAAAAAAAAACATTGTGGAGCCAAACCCTCCTCAGGAGACGCAAAGATGGGAGCACCTGCACACCATCATGTACTCCTGATTAAATCCATTTTTTTTTAAAGATTTTATTTATTAGGGGCGTGATGTGGAAAGCTCACGTAGCTTCATGCTGCAGAACCACACCTGAGGGGCACCAAAGCAGGTGCAGACTTGGTTCAGAAGACAACTGCATCCCCATCCCACCTGCACCCCTAAATCGAGGTCTCCGGGTCACTCTTTCCATTAGAGAACGGACCAAGTTCCCATTCAAACAACAATCCTAACAACAATTACAGTAAATTTGAAGTCAATATTAGCAAGGCCGCACAGGCTGCGTCCGGCCACCCTGAACCCTCCTACTCTAGAAATAGAGGGAAAAACCCACATCCCATCCAAGGCCACATTTGGACAGTGTGGACATGGCAGGGGCTGGGCTCCCAGCCCACACCTACCTGCAGGAGGTAAACTCGAATCATATAGACGAAGCTCAGGCCCAGTGTCACCACCCATCGCACGGTTGTGTAAGGCGTGGACTTGTCTAGCCAGGACTGATAGATCTAGAAAGACAGGAGTTCACATGCGCTGTGGACCACAGAGCACCAGCTTCGGACTTCAAGTCAGCAACACAAGGCAGTGACTATTAACCCAAATTCCTGAAACAGGCCCACCCCTGAAGCAAAAATAGTACAGAACGATCTCTCACCAGCAGCCAATCCTACAGGATCAGCCTGAGGGGTCGTTATGAGGTCACCTAACCTCACCCAGAGAGCACGAAGAATGTGGGCACCTTACAGGGGGCTCACTCTCGGAGTCCCGCCCCTCCCAGAGCTGGTCCCAGCCCTGCCCAGCAGCCACAGGGGGCCCCTGCCTCTGCCCTCAGGACAGTGAGCCACAGCCCAACCTCCGGCAGGTGTGGAGCTCGGGCACGGTGGGCACAAAGCGGTGGAGTTTCCAGAAGGAATCCTTGGTTTTACCCAGATATGCACGTGCATTGTGTGCAAGTACACATAAGTAGCAGACAGACGTGCATTATTTCATTTTAATTTTGTAATTAATTTTAATTTTTAAACTTAATTTTTTATGAAAAATTTCAACCGTTCATAAAAGCAAAAGTACCCACAGCCTGGTTTCAATAATTGTGAAATTTTCCAAATGTTCTTTTTTAATTTTAAGAACACGTTTTTAATTCTAAGCCAAAACATCAGCATACACAACTGGTCACTGAACGTAGCAGCTTCAGGCACTGCTGACTACGGCAGGCCTCAGCACGGCACACAGGTACACCCCCAGGTCAGTGCAGAGCCGGGCCGGGGACGTGGAGGCGGCGGCCTGGACAGAGGACAGTAAGCACACGGCAGTGGCCGCCCCCACAGCCGTGCCGCCCAGGAACTAAGAAGGGTCTTCAGGTTCTTAAAGGTTGTTGGGGCACAAAAAAACAGAAAACCAGGGGCGCCTGGGTGGCTCAGTTGGTTGAGCGGCTGCCTTCGGCTCAGGTCATGATCCTGGAGTCCCGGGATCGAGTCCC